CATCGTTTATTATTATAGTAGTTATTCAGTTAACTTTTTCAGTTTTTAATATAGAAAACGTACATTTATTTTACAGTTAATAAACTTAACATTAAAATATGATATATAATTTTTATTCTACTTGAAGTTTTCAATATCTTAAAACACTGSATTAATCAATTTTTCAATAAACATTTTCTATACACTGTTATATGCAATTTAATGTTCATTTCTCAATAATTGCAATTTATGTTATAGCTCCGAAGAAGTTTCATTAACTTAAACAAAACAAATTATTTCACCACTAATTCAGCACTAAGTCGTCCTGTAAGTTGTATCCATAAATTATTTGTAATAGCCATATAAGCTACTACAGTACTACATAATACTTTTCTAATCCAACAACTAAATGTAGAGCTTTGTATCTATAGAGACATTTAAATTTTCGAGAAATTTCTAAAAATATCAATTTATATTCATACGTTTTATGCTTTTACTTATATGATTTATTAAATCCGATAGCTGATCAAAAATATATTTTCATATTACGATTTTCGAAATTTTGAATATGTTTTAACTTTTGTGGGTAACTTAATYATACAGTTTTTACTTAACAAACTCAAATAATACAATACTAGAGCCCTTACTTTATATTTTTGTGGATCGGAGGATCTAGAAATKCTTAGCGCTTTTAATGACTTTGGTCTAATTCAGCCTTACTTCTCATCTACTAGATCTAGTTCTGTTAATTACCAGTAGGTATAGTATTTATATTGCGTTTATACTTACGACATAYATTAATATATGTATTATATATAAAACATAAATTCTGCAGCGTGTTTTATTTGCAAACAAATACAAATCGAAGCGGCGCGCGACTTAGAGGTAAATGTACACAGTACACACCCGTCCAAGACCGAAACAATCAGCAAAACCATAAAACTACTTTTGATTAAAATCCTAACATCGAGTTAGTGGTTTCCGGGTCGCTTGCTCCGATAATATTTTGACTTATTTGTTATTTATGACGGCATGAAACAATTCGAAAAAGAATTCTTAAAAATTCGCATGTGTGCTGTAATTTGTAAAATATTTAAAACWTGCCCCGTACAATATTTACAGGCCGAAGGCGATTACGAGTAACTTAACTAGTTATACAGGTGACTCGGTATTAAAATTTATTTATTCCATATTCTTTATTATTTGCACTCATTACAGGTAATATTTATAYATATAAGTAATATACAATTTATAATAATATTATGCATGATTGTGAGTTTTTCCATATATACGATGAAAAGTCGGTGGATACCTCAGCTATCTCTACACCAYGGGATATGATATAATGGACGGGAAAGGACATTGACGGCGAGTGACGGACCGCAAAGGTTTCCTCTATTATTAATCAACACCGGGAATGAAAGGTTTTCAGCGCTATATTGGTGGTTTTATTTGAAGTCACATTTATATCCTAACATAGAACTCCRCGTTCTATGATATAAGCTCATGTGTAATACTGATGACGTTGTAACCTCTCAATTTCCAATGCAAACCCTGCACTTTCCTCTTGCACGTACCATGAATTAAAACAGTTTAATTAGTTGGTCGGATATTATCTTAAATTGTTATATATTCTAATTTCTAGTCCACTGATGGTAAGCGTTTCGTTTTCAGTTCATCGTATCCTAGTCCGTTCTTTGCACTATATAATACATATATTAGGTTTCGAATAGTGTTAAAAACGAAATAGATAAATTATGATGTTGCTGAAGTTTTATGGGACATAATCTATAAACTCTAAGCAATTCTCTAACGGACAATTAATTTTTGACACGAAGAAAAACGTACGATTATCACTTAAAAGTCTATTTGTGGATATATTAAATGTATAARCACTTATAACTAATTATTACGTGATAAATTATAAAAACAAAATATACAAGGAGATTGTCTTAAAACTAAATATTAATTTTCTCCGTAACTAATAAACATTATTCTTTTGTAAACATTTTTTTTTAAACCACGACATACTGTTTTGTATCACTAAATTTGTTTGATTTCTAACTAATTTTTCAATCATATCATGCGTTTTTATTTCAAAAATTAAAAAACTTAAAAAATATTTTTTTCAATCTTATTAAGTGGCTCGGCCCAATTTATATTATACTTTATCTGGTTCTTTACAATTATGTTATAAAGTTTGATATTTTACAATTTTTTTTCGTCTTAATCACACCGATTTCAATAGTTGTTTTCAGACGAATTTACGAGCGTCAAGATTATGCTTTTGTGTATCAAAATGTATAAATTATAAATATGATTATTGCTAYATTGTGTTTAATAGGGTGAGGCGTACGTATACCGCTGTTTTTAATAATATAATACCTAGTGTAGCAATAGCAAAAGTGTAATAATAATATAATAACATTCTGATTTCATTACACCATTATTATACCTAATATACGAGCTACTGAACCACGAATAAGTAACATCACGATCGATCACATTATTATACTTTCAGTTTTATAAAAGGTTATGTCTTGGRCGTATGATTTATAAGTTTATTTTTAATCAACAAACAATCGTAATCTACCTATATTATWATACTGTATCACCGTAGCCCCACAGATTATATTATATTATTATTTTATATTTATTATTATAAATTAATATTCGATGTCTAACTCGTTCCGTTTCATTTCACAGGATTAAACAACAACGTGAATCCATTCGTTTTACACCTGAACGGTGATCTATACACCGGACAGTTGCAGTTGCAACAGCAGCAGGTGGCCAATAACTGAAGACGTTATGTATCTCTCGCACCAGTTATCGGCGAAGTGCTCCCGTGCAAAAATGAGGAATTCGTCTGATTATTAAACGTTATGTCTATATAATACACATGTAATATAATATACATCGTATTATTTTAATACAATTCGGACATAGAAATAAAGACCCATTCCGCCAATGTCTRTATATAGTATACACGTCATCATATAATGATGAAGGTACATTGCAACATTCGAATATAAAACGAGAAATGTTATATTCCTTCTTCGTGATTAGCGTTCGACTGATTTTATTTTAGGTGATATTATTTCGACAGCGTATTGTCGAAAAATATCCCACTGTCTACATATCGAGTTATATCCATGGCTGATTTATGACATAATAATATTATTTCGGCCAGTAACTGTGGTAACAACACACATTCATTTTGTAACAATATTGTCATATTATTATTGTAAGTTGTAATATAATTCATTTATAGTGAATAATAATTTTCTTCCGATATATTTTTTATACGTGTTTGAGTTTGAGATAAATAGAGAGTTTGATATTTACACTTTGTATGATTCAATATATATATTATAAAGAAATTGAAAAAAAAAATGTGAAGTTTGAGTATATAATATATTATAGTAGCATTTATATAGTGCGTATAGTGTAGTCATTTTGAAGTTTTTGTACAACTCGTGTTACGTCAAAAGTTTCTTTTTATAGATTGATAATAATTGTATTATACGGTCTKGTAGGATTGAGAACTTTTTGTGTGTGCTTAAGTATATTGCGTATAAATATATTTAGAATGTGTAAACCGAAATCGGAAAGGTTCGAAAGACTTGTGGACACTTTTGTCCATAAAAATTTGATTGTGAAAGTTTTTTTTTTGTTGACTCAATTTTGGTCAGCTGTAAGGTTGGTCTGTGACAGAAATAAGACCTAAAAAATAAAAACCATTTTATAGAATTGTAAAAAGGATTCAGTTGAAAAATAAATGAAATCTCGAAGTCATTCGAATTTCCGAGATTTTATATATTTACTTACATAGTTACATAATATTATTACTTAATAAAGGTATTCGAAACTATATACATATGATAATAATATTAAAAAATATATATTGTTTGATATGATAGCGAAATAATTGTATACCTTTATATATTTTATCATTGAGTCGCTGTCACTTAATAAGTATAATATTTTATTGATTTTTCGTGTTTGATTTTTCGTGTGTTCTATAGTGTATTATTCAGTTTATTAAGTAAAGTGCTAGATTTTTTTCTCAGTAGATCCTATGATAAAATGTAAAATTATTATTGTKAATTATAATAAAAACGCAAATAAATGTTACGAATACGTGGCGTATATTATTTAGATTATTAAATACAATAAGTTTTTAATTAAATATAATAATATGGTATGATGCGATTGTGGGAAACGAGATCTCATTTTCAAACGAATAAAAATATCGTCAGTCTATATACGTTTTACATCGTGACAGTGACATGCGTCACGTTTTTCAGAAATATTTCTGTATTTGCGTTGAGGTAATTTAAATATTTGACTTCAATGAATTAAAATGTATACGAGAATCAAGTAAACATAAAATAACCCTTACATCCTAAAACCATTATCTTCGATGAGATAGGGTGTGACCATATTTTATCAAAATGTATTAGGTACCTTATCCGAGACATACTTTATTGGTACCCATCATAATATTATGCATAGTTTTATTTAATCTAGTATTACTGTGTACATTTTATTATTATATTAATTAATTTATACTATTGTTATCATCGTATAATTGTAATTTTACTCAATATATTATATCATACAAATATAATATATACGTTTAATTTTTATCATTAGGTACTTAATAGTTAATATGATATAGATATGTGTAAATTATTATTTATTGTCATTTATTTTTTTATCGTTCACATTCATGTATAATATTAATTATTAATACGATCTAAAGCCATTGGTCCTAATAAATATTTTAATGAATCAATACTATTATGAAAGTTTAATGCATAATATATACGTACATATACGTTTATGCACATCTATTTAACAATAAAACTATATATTAACTATTATTAAACAAATTGTCCTCATTACATAAACTTATTGTACCAATATATTATACTATTCGTGTTGCATATTATCCATTTTAAATAATTGTTTACTTCCGCAACGACGTGGAAACTTATTGCTGTAAGGAGTTGGAGGTATGGGAAACAATTATAATATATTCCCGAATCTCATCTACCGATTTAATTCGTTCAGCTCGTATTTAATAATGATGGTTTTTGTTTTGTTTAAATTATTTTAGACTAGAATATAATATTATATTCAATTTGTWTTAAACCGTGTAACGCAGATAATATTATTAACATATTTATGTACTGAAATTTAAATTTAAATATACAATGTAGATACAATTTTCACGAGGTTCTTTTGTTAATTGGAAACGTGTGGCTGATCCTATCATCTCAGGGTACAAAATGGAAATTATGAAGAAAAACCGTACCCGGAATACGTCCATGATTTAACATTATAATAACAAAGTAGGTAMCTAGATGTTTTAATACTTTATAAACAATAAGCATGCATACTTTCATTCATTTAATTGTTTTGATTCAGAGTTCTGCAGTACAATAATTGTTTAAACTATTCGTGTATATGATTAGACATTAAAAATTATCTTAAGACTTAAGTAATATTATGTAATATACCTATAGGTAATAGGTAATAAAATAGTTTTTGATCTTTACAGTATACAGTTTAATTTCAACATATTAAACCAATTTAACCCATATATAGGCTGACTAGGTATGATATAGTTTATTTAAGGAACTGGATTTACTGGAAATCTGGGTTTTATATAAAAGATGATTTATTTATTAATTAGTTATAAGGTTGGACAAGATAATAAACGTAGATTAAGCATTTGCCACACATATTTTGGTTATTTTTGATATATTTATGAACGTCGATATTTTCAATTATTTTAAACAAGAACCATATATGTTATAAAAACAAAAATTATCAATATTTTAATCATGTGCCGACAGCAACATTGCAAATAAAACATAAAAGTCAAATATTATTTTACAATTATTAATTGAGAACATTCGGGTTATATATTTATATAATATAATATAAAAGATTTATTAAGAGCTTTTCGATTTAGGCTGTCCAACGGGTTTTATCAGCGGATAATGGTAGATTTATGTAATGTTGTTATGTTATTTTAATATRTCTATTGTTGACTATTATCCAATGCTGATAGATAACAACTAATATGAAACAGAAACATACATTTTTATGGAAGATTACCGCTGTCATAAATATCTAGCATTGTGTTTTTTTATCAGATTGTAGCGTAAATATTAAAATAAAAATAAAACATTACCTAATTTACATATGCATCAGATATATCAATAACATCACATTTACAACGAAAATCACAATAAATGCAAYCAAATGAACAGCACAAATATTTATTATACATCCATATTCATGCAATAAATAAATGTATTTTTTTCATTAACTTTCGTGGATAGCGATTGATTGCTCAGCTCAAAAACACGGTGCTTGTGCACTTTGGGGAATTAAATTATTTTCAAACCATTTAATCTCGTTGAAGATTCGCATACAAATCCTACAAATCCAAATCGATATTTTACGCGATTTTGATTGCGCCGTTAATGATTAATTCCTATCTCTACAACCATGTATTCATATATATATACGTATTATATACCTGCCTAAATGTCATGCATTATGTATAGCAGTGTTTTATTTGTGTTCATTAAATGCATTATTACTGAACAGTGTACACTATTGCCGTAGCGAGAAGAAATGTGGCTTTGGAAAAGTTTCGGAATCTTCAGGGTTCGTATTGTCAGGAGCAAATTTATTTCTCTGAGTTTGTCTCTAATGGATTAATATATGGATGACGTTAGGGGTATACAAAAGGGTTATCGTAAAGTCAGATCCTCCATGGTCTTGTTTTCGAAAGAGATTTCATGAAATTATTTTAGTTTAAACGACTTTTAATTAATTTTATTGTTGTTCGCGTTTTATAAAAATATYTAGCTATTTCGTTATAGAACATATTTTACATGTAATTATAACATATACAGCTAAAATGTATCAGATTAGTATTTAGTTTATTTTACATATTACTATTATAGCTAAATACTACCTGACTTCGTCCGAAAAAAAACAAATCATTTTTCTATTATTTTCATTTTTATTTCAGTTGAAATATATTTTATAAATATACATCACTAGATTTTTATGAATGTGTGATTTTATTTAATTAAATCGGCCTCGACGCGTACAGAATAATAAGTAGTATATATTTGTATGTTCTGARCACTTTTTTTACAGGAACATTTCATCAGGGACATTTTTGCATAATTCACTGTGTAACTCAAAATCGTTGATTTTCTTAAAAATAATAAAACAAAACTTGGTTTAACGATGGTTAATTAGRTACTTAAATGTAAAACAAAAATTAATTTTGCCGGTAAAGAAGTAAAACTCCGTGTAGCCAACACGTGTAAGTAATAAATTTATTGTAAGTTGTTGCTTTAAAAAAAAAAATCAACGATTTTGAGTTACACAGTGAATTATGTAGAAATGCCCACTTAAACTGATGAAATCTCCCTGTAAAAAAAGTGCTCAGAACATACAAATA